GACGAAACAGTTTGTCACAGCCCCTCGTTTGTTGTCCTCTTCTCCCTCTCTGCCTACGGTTTACCGGGCAGTTCTATTTGACGATATATATTATAATACATAGTAATTTCATACATATAAATATTGTTTCGAGAAACTGTTGGCAGAGACACTTCCTTGAAATCATATCCTTTTGTATTTTATATATGTATTTATTAAATTTTATTTCAAGTAATTGATTTAGTTATTTATTTTGTGTGCTGCACCTAGTTTTTTTCCAGATGGCACCACACGCCGCACACATGTGAGATTGCAAGTATGTGTTGGGCTAAGAATGGAATGACGGAACAGCGTTGCTGACTGCCAGCATAAGAAGCACAGCCTGGTGAGGGTTGGGTCTGGATGATTCCCACACTGAATGAATAATTGTTATTTGAAATTGGTGTGGTATCTTGGTGTTGCAGAGTTCTTGAGCACTATCTGAATGTGTGCTTGAAGTCACTTCCTCCTTCATTTTCTCTTCCAGATCTCAATAATCCTCTTGGAGACTTGCATCCTTCGGCTGGCTCAGATCCAAACACTGCTGCTGGCATTGATGATGCCAGAAAAAGGGGGAAGACTGAGGATGTGAAGCGTGGAAAACCGGGGAGGCCAAAATCCAAGGGGGTTGAGCACGACGAGAATGTAGCACCATCAAAAAATGCCCAGAAAAGCAAGAAGGACGAGGATACAGGATCTCAGAAGGCAAAAAGACAGCTCACGCTTGCAGAAACTCTGAAGAGAAGTTCGGCAACTCAGGATGGTGAAAGTGGAAGAGATGTTGGCGAGACGACCGGGGGAGGAATGATCAAGAGTTCAAAGGAGAAAGAAAGCAGTGGCAATGGTGAAGGGGCATCTGTGGAAGTGCAGAGGGAGAAAATGAGACCACTGAACTTATCAGCAATGACAATTTTGTCGCTGCAAAAGGTTCGTTGGGCGGACATTGCCCCCCGTGATCTCTATTGCCTTAGCTTTGGGGCCACTATTGGTTAAATGTGTTAGGATCAGGCCTCATGCCATGGTATGCTGTAATAGGCATGAACTGTTCCGAGTGTCATTATCTTGTCCCAGAGCCTCAGCAGAAGTAGGTCCGACTCATGCAAAGGCATCAGCAAATATGCTGTGAGTCCAGAACCTTGAATGAGTGGCATAGGGTAAGCAATATCAAGCATGCATGGAGTCTGTGGTACAATGCTCCTTCCATCTGAGGGCACTGAGGATTGCTTCCCTACACACACCTCCTCTGGCAGGGGGACACACTTTCTTGTTTGATGGCTAACAGCTGTTGACAAGGCTGCAAAACGAAGGAAGGACGGAGTCCTTTACAACATCCGTTAAAATTAGAACAATGCAGAGAAGATTAGTATGGCTACTATGGTCCATCTGCAAGGAACATCAAATTGAGAAATGGTCCAAATTTCTCCAAATGGAGAAAAGGAAAAGGAAGGAAGAAAGGATGAAGGGCAGGAGGGAGGGAAGGGAGAGAGGAAGGAAGGAAGGAAGGAAGGAAGGAAGGAAGGATGGGGCAAGGGAAGAGGGAAGGGAGCCAAGAAGGAAGGGAGGAAGGGGAGGAAGGGAGGAAGGGAGCAAGGGAGGAAGGGAGGAAGGGGAGGAAGGGGAGGAAGGGGAGGAAGGGAGGAAGGAAGCAAGGGACGAAGGGAGGGAGTGAGGAAGGGAGGAAGGGAGGAAGGAAGGGAGGAAGGGAGGAGGAAGCGAGGAAGGGAGGGAGGAAGGAAGGAAAGAATGGAAGAACGGAAGGAAGGAAGGAAGGG